GGTTGCACGTTTAGCGCGCGGAAGGCTTAAGGAGCGTTGCAAGGCGTGGCCAGGCGAGCCAGATCTGGACACTTCTGAACCGGAAGAGATTTTGCGAGTCTGCAAATGGGCTGCGACTCTGCGAGGAAGACGACTCACGTGTTTGTTATTTAGGTTTATTGTTATCAACGACGTCGTTTCGATTGCAGTGTTTTAACTTTAAACGAAACGACGTCGTTTTGATTACGTTTTAAAAACAATTCTAACTGAAACGACGTCGTTTCACTTGGAGTGTTTTGAGAAAGAAAACGCAAATTTCTGTTTTTTTTTTTTAACCTTTATTGTAATAAACTTAAGGCAAGAATAATTAATATCTTTCTTGCCTTCTCTAAATCCAGCCGGCTGTAGCTTTGTTCTACTTACCTTTTTTTTTCTTTTCTAAATTAATATATTAACACATGAACTTATCTATATCTATATATACTAGCCTCTCCGCACGTGCTTCCGCGCCTGAGAGAGGCTTTTTTTTTATAAAAAAAATTACAATTTATTTTAGAATTAAAAAGATAATGAGTAGTTGTGTTCCATAAAAATAGGCCATTATCTGATTTTTCTTTTAATTTTAATTTTTTTAAATATGAAAAAGTGTGAATTTACCATATTATCCTCATTTAATTAATAATTTCAATTCTTAATTTTTGCATTAACCAAGGGCATTTTCTGGTATTTTGAATGTTTCACCATTCTCTGCCTTTTGTTTTATATATATATAGATAAAGCAAAAGGCAGAGAATGGTGAAACATTCAAAATACCAGAAAATGTCATTGGTTAATACAAACATTAAGAATTAAAATTATTAATTAAGTGAGGATAATATGGTAAATTTACACTTTTTCATATTAAAAAAATTTAAAATTAAAAGAAAAATCAAATAATGGATCCTTTTTTTATAGAACACAACTACCCATTATCTTTTTTAATTCTAAAATAAATTTAGATAATGGATCCTCTTTTTATGGAACACAACTACCCATTATCTTTTTTAATTTTAAAATAAATTTAATTTTTTCTTTTAAAAAGCCTCTTGCAGGAGCGGAAGCGCATGCAGAGAGGCTAGTATATATAAAGCAAAAGACAGAGAATGGTGAAACATTCAAAATACCATAAAATGCCATTGGTTAATTCAAAAATTAAGAATTAAAATTATTAATTAAATGAGGATAATATGATAAATTCACATTTTTTTATATTAAAAAAATTAAAATTAAAAACAAAATCAGATAATAACTACCCATGTTATCTTTTCTTAATACTAAAAATAATAATTAAAAAAAAAACCAATTGGCATGTGCCAAGGAGCTAAGGGTCAGCCGTGGTCTTTGGGGCTAGTTATGCTGGGGTTTATATGATGCAGAAGCGACAGAAGGAGAAAATGGAGAAGAAGGAAGACGAAATTAGAGGGAACCGGGAGAGCAGTACTGTAAAAGAGAGCAAAGTCTCTGCACTTGGGAGGAACAAAAAGATCCATGCAGAGAATTTTATGCCCCGGACACTACCGGTCCTTAGAGGAAGGCCATAGTTAATGTGCATGGCTTAATGTTTGGAATGGTGGTTTCCAAAGTTTTTACAAATGCTTATGCTTGGTTGATTTTCAAGTGATTTATTCTTGTGTAACTTGTGTTTTGTAAGTTTCCAAGTGTTAGGTTGTGCTTACATTTTCACCTGGTATATATATCTACAACTTGCTATGCTATGTGATCGTTCTAAGCTATCTTAATACCAAAACTTTTTAATTCTGCTTTCTGTAGTTTCCTTAATGAAAATACTTTAGATGTAATATTTGAACGAATCTTCACTTTACATATATTATAATTAGAACCGTTCATTTTCGAAATCACCATTTAAAGATCAGCTTTATTTAAAATAATAAAATAAAATCAATCAAATTGGAGTTGTATGGTCATCCAAATGTAGGTTGGCTTAATTTGGACGTCTTCTGTGTTACCATATGAGGATTTTGAATTTGGCTGAGGAGAAGCAATGCATGGTTGCAAAATCTGACACATACTGCCACGTTGCATGGACAGCACAGAACTTGTGCCAGGTGAATTTAACCCGGTGGTACTAATTAATTCAATTCCCAAAATTGCTAAATAGCCTTATGTGTTGGCTTTGTAGAGCTCTCTAATTAAGGTTATATATATAAGAATACCTACTGTGCTTACACCTCCTGCTTACATATCCCACCTCATGCTTTAACTGGATTTGAGGACTCTACATTTGCAATACGTCAATTTTTAACATAATGTTTAGTAAGCATAAAGGCCTTTCTAAATGCTTTTGTAAAGTATATATATATCAATTATATAGTTTGCAAACTAATAACTATAAGGTTTGGTGTTTTTTGAAACTGCAAACTGACCGCGTTTTGCGAAAAACTGTATCGTGGTAAAACTACAATTTCGGTTGGTTATCGTGAATTAACGGTTTAAACCGATTGGGATATTTTAGGCCTAAATTAGACAATTTTAGGGCTTTGAAGTTGGGTCTTTTTGTGTCATAAAAATTCAATCTTCCATACTTTTGTAGGCCTAGTTTTGAAGCTTCTTTTGAAGCCTTTTGAGTTCAAGCATACTTTAACCTAAAGAAATAAATTCACAACCTAAAGAAATAATGCAATGCAA